GTATGGCCTCAATGTGCATCCACTTAGCTATAAATGTCTCTAATTTCTCATTTTTTATGGCTGAGTAGTACTCCATTTTATTAAAAAACCCACATTTTCTTTATCCAGTCTCCAGTTGATGGCCATTTGGGCTGTTTAGTAATTGATTTTTTAATATTTATTAAATTCCATTTATAAGAATTTTATAGACTAGTTTATATTTAAATTCATTGAAGACATTGGACTGTTGCACTGCAAACATCCTGAAAGGGAGCACTGCCACTGACTTACATCTCCCATGCATTTCAGAGAAATTCCATCTTATCAGTCACAATCTAGTCCTCCCCACTCCTCTGGGGAATGGTTAAACAAAACAATGGGAGAAATACAAGCTTCCAGCCAGCAGACTGACCCAAACTAATAATATTTTGCTGCTATTGTCATTTAAGCCTTGAAGTACCTGGTTCCATGGTCTCCAATAATCTTTAGAATTTCTACAGACAAATCTGTAGTTATTTCATAAGTTTAGCCTTATAAGTGACTGTGATTTACTCTTGCAACTTTTGATATTCTTTCTTTGTTCTGTGCTCTTGGCATTTAGACTATAATATAATGTGGGTGGGTAGCTTCTGGCCATGCTTTTTGAAGATTTAAATGCCTCCTGTCCCGGGATATCCTTACCTTTCCCAAGATTTGGTAATTTTTTGCCATTTTTTTCACTGAATATATTTTTATGGCTTTCATCTATAGCTCTGTGCCTTCTTATCAAAATTCCATAAAATTGGTCACTTAATCATGTTCCAGTGTTCATCCTTGCCATCCAGCCTGACATTTTGTCTTCTTTATCCAGTCTATTGGTTGGGTTTGCAGTTGAGTTTTTGTTTGACTAATTGAGTTTTTCATTCCCAAGATTTCTGTTTGGTTCATTTAACAATCTATATATTAGTTGAATTGCTCCCTCAGGTCTTGCATTAAATCGCTCAGCTGTTTATTTCTATCTTCTTTGAAGTCATTGTTTATTCAAACCCTGTGACCTTTGAATTATTTCTCTGGGATTCCACCCTTTGCAGTATGTTTGCATTCAATTTACTGATGAGCTGTGGCACTTTGGAGAAGTCATGTTGTCACATGTTGTCTATGTTGTGGAGATCCATGCACATGCTAGGATTGATGTCCCTTCCAATGTGAGATTCTTCTGCTACTTTTGAAAACCTGATTTCCAATACCACTGAAAGATAAAAAATTAAATCCCAGAAATGGTAATGACTCAAAGAAAAACAAGATATTGAGTTAGAGTAAAAACCAATTAATATTAACAACTATAACACTATTAAAAATATAAATCATCAATAATATAGGATAAAGTAAAAGGCTAAATATTAATGTGTTAAAGATAACAATTATAAATATAAAAATGTGGAAGAAGATAGAAGATTAAAAAAGAAGAGGAAGAAAGTGAAAAACAAAAGACATAAAATAAAATAATTTAATTATTAAATAATAAAAAATTAAATGATAAAAATGTAAAGTAAATTAGATCAAGTAAGGGGAAAAATAAGAAAAAAGGGAAAGTTTAGTTTAAAATTCCTGCACTGTGAGGTGTTTGAATTGGTCAATTTTCTTTTCAGGGCCCTAGGGCCAGGGGAAGGTAGCGAGTGCCCTCTAGGCCCATCACATTATCTCCACTCCCACCGAGCAGGCTGCTCTGTGTGGATGCAGGCACTGACCTCCTTTCCCGCTGGGCAGAGCATGTCATCTCCTTAGGGCTTTACTCATGCCAGACTCTGTCAGTGTTGCTCCTTAATCCATGCCAGAGGCCGTCAGTGTTGCTCCTTTTCTTCTGTGGACAGGTCTGTGCTCTGGTGGCTGGTTGGGTGCCCCGCCCACTCCAGGGGCCCCAGGGGCTCTGCAGGTGTCTGAGCAGAGACATTTCTGTGAACGCCTGGGGAGTGGTCCAGGGGAACACAAAAGCCCCAGATGGCCATGAGTATAGTTCAGCCTGTGAAGGGGGGTATCCAGGAGGCCAAGGGACATCAAGACCACAGTGCAGGAAAACTTCTCCAACCTGATGAAAATAATGAAGGTAACCACTCAGAGCAGCTTTGGGCCAGCTAACTGTGTGCAGGCCTGGCCCCCAAAAGTTACTGTGCATGTGAGCATAAAGAGACAGAAGATACTTGTGGTGGACTTGTGCACTCTTGCTGTGGCCTCTGTGACTTCTCCTTACCTTGGTGTTGTGACACGTGAGTACAAGCATCAGCCCTGTGGGCCAGCATAGCCACTAGGCCATTGAACTCCACAGCCTGAGGGTGGCAAAGGGCAGCGGATCACAAAAGCCCAGAATGGCCACCACCATAGTTCAGGCTGTAAGGGGGGTCCAGCAGATGGTGCTTCATCAAGACTGCAGCACAGCCACACCTCTCCATCCTGGTGTAAATGACTAAGGTAACCACTCACCCATGGGGTCTGAGACTGACAGACAGCCACTACTGTGTGTACAGAGGCTGAGAGCCACAGAGTGGCAGGATGGATAGCACTGAACAGTGTTGTTGGTACCCCAGAATAAGAGTTGTCTATTCAGTCTATGGCTCTGTGTCTTTTCTGCCTGAATCAAAGAGACACTTCACAATCTAAACTGGTGACCAGCGAATGGGGAAAACACACAAATCACTAAGTTCTGTGATGGATGAAGTCCTTGACAAGAATTAAGCAATCCAGCGGGCTCAATCCCAGTACTGTGAGACCCAGGACCTCAGAAATCACCTGGGGCAGGTGTTGCACCCACCAGAGATGGGAGCTACTGGTGGCCTCCCTGCAGTTCAAGCTCAAGCTCCTCACTGCTTAAACTCGTCAGGTGTTTGAACCTCGTCTCTCATTCCCCAGGTGTCTCTTTGGAACACTAACCTTCTCCCATCACTGGAACAGTGTGTCCTCAGTAACCCTGAAGTCTGCTTGTTCTGTAACTTCTGATCCTGAGAGTAGCTCTGTCTCTACCAAGAAGCCCACATCTAAACAGTTCCTGGTCACGGGAATATAGAGTGATCCTTGCAATGCATTCCTTGTCCAAACTACCAGAAAGATTCACTTTCAGACTGTGTCCATCTGTAATCCAGCATACAGTAACCATGGGTGTCTTCTGTGGGGAGAGCTTCTTGCCTGCCTGACGTGTTGAATCAAATCTCCTCCTCTGGAACACCCAGGTTTGGCATTGCTGACTACTTCATACTTCTCTTTGCCTTGCCTTTCCATTTCTCCATCCTCTTAGCCTTTTCTGTCATCTTTTTTCTTGATTCCTGGAGATAGTCTTCTCTTTCTTCCATAGGATGTGAGTTCCCTTTCTAATTCTTTTTTATTAATATATATTTTATTAGTACATGTTTGCAGTATGTAATGAATACATCTAGCATGGGGAGTTTGAACATGTATATAACATGTTGTAATTTTTTTCTCTTTCCCATCTCTTCCCCCCTTACTCCCTCTGACTCTTACTCTCCATGCAACTGAACTCCCTACTTCCTATTATCTATGCTTTACTTTGCTTTTTAATTATATTTTGGTTTTCTCATATAAGAGAGACCATGGAATATTTTAACTTGTGTGTCTAATTTATTTCACTTAACAGTATGGAATCCAGGTCATCCATTTACCTACAAATGCTTCAACTACACTAAGATATCATCTTTCTCCAGAAAGAATGGTCATTATAATCAAGAAATCATGTAGTAACAAATATTAATAGGGTTGCAGGCAAAATCACTATGGAGATCAGTATGAAGATTCCTCCAAAAACTAAGAATACAAATTCTATTTGACCCAGCTATTCCCCTTCTGGGAATTTCCCTGAAAAAATTAAAGTCATCACTTTACAATGATATATGCATACCCATGTTTATAGTGTCATAATTTATAATAGCTGAATCTTGGGAATAGCCTATAACTCCACCAACAGAAGAATGGAGAAATAGGGTGCAGCATTCACACATAGTGGAGTACTACTTAGTTTCTAATGCAACTGTTTTCACTTTGAGAGTCAAATGAAGCATATTCTATATCACCATCTGACCTGGATTGCCACCCAGTGATTAAGGTTTCTATACAACTATGTTAGAATTTTCTATCTTTTATAACAGATTTTGAACATTGTTTGCATCAAAAAATAACACTCATAATGTTTATTGAGGCAATCCAATTGCTTCATTTCAGAAATGCAAAGTATTTTTCACATAATGATTTTTGACCAGATTCAAAAGATATTTCTATCTGTTCCAATGTATGCACAGAAGTGTTTTTATGTTGTGATTCATTATTAATATCACTTACTTGCAACCTCATTTGCTCAAATGTCTTATGCTTATGTCTAAAAAATATTAAAGACTTTTCTATATTTTTTCTCTTTATTCTACTAACTCTAATCTACAAAATTTCCTCAATTAAGGAAAAGAGCAGTGCACATTGAATTTTATAACAAGATGCAAAATGCATTTTCAAAGCAGTGGTAGCAACTGTGAATATGATGTGTAGAGTTAAGCACAAAGTGGTTCACCTTGAAGATACAGTGCAGCCAGCTTCCCAGGGAGCTGTATGTCAAAATCTAAGTAATTTGACGTTTTCCAGTGACACTGATAAAACATCAATTGGTGCTATTTTATGTGGTACATTCTTATATTGACTACTATGAACACATGAATTCATATTATAAATAACTATTAATAATTCTTTTACTAATTAACACCATAAACGGTCAGATTGTATCAACTGGCTAAAATATTTTTGTAAATTTATAGATAAGGCTAATAGTTTTATATATAATGTATCTTAATATAGGTTAATATTATCTATGTCTGATGTGATTATAGAAATATCAAAAATCAGACATATTTGGCAATAATATGCACCAAAACATTGAATTCTGAGACAAAAATGTCTTATTAGAGAAACCCATACAAATCTGCTCTAATTGACAATGTTTTTATGTCTACTGACATCAAGCTCCACGTGAAAACTTGGAACTGCCAGCCCCTCTCAACAGCTTGGTTAATGCCCCCTTCATGTCCTTATTCCTCAAGGTGTAGATGAAGGGGTTGAAGGTAGGAGTCACCACTATGTAGAAGAGAGCCATGAACTTGGGCTGGTCCCTGGAGATGGAGGCCGGGGGCTGAAGGTACATGCTGATGGCCGGACCATAAAATAATGAAACTACAATGAGATGGGAGGAACATGTCCCCAAGGCCTTTTTACTCCCTCCAGAAGACTTAATCTTAAGTACAGTATGTCCAATACTAGCATAGGAAAAAAGAATTAAACACAGAGGAACAGCTAATACAAATGTGGATGCCAGAGACAGTGCAAGCTCATCTGCCTCCTTCTCACCACAGGCAGTCTTAATCAGAACTGAAATCTCACAAAAAAAGTGATCCAGTTTAGTGACCCCACGCAGTGGCAGCTGTAGTATAAGTGTGGCCTCTGAGAAAGCAAATATCACCCCAGTCAGCCACATGATAGATGATAGTAGGAGGCAGAGGTGCTGATTCATGATGAGACTGTAGTGCAGAGGCCTGCAGATGGCCACATAGTGGTCAAAGGACATGATGCCCAAGAGCAGACACTCTGTGGCCCCCATTACATGAACAACATAAAGCTGAACTGCACACCCCAGATAGCTGATGGTCTTCTTGGAGCTCCCCAGGTTAAAGAGCATCTGAGGAACAATGCTTGTGGTGTAACATGTGTCCAGGAAGGAGAGGTTACTGAGGAAGAAGTACATGGGGCTGTGGAGACGGAGGTCTAACTTGGAAACCAGGATGATGGTGATGTTTCTCATCATGGCCATGGGGTAGATTATCAGGAGAGTGATGAAGAGAGGCAGCTCCAGCCAAGGTCGGTCAGCGAAGCCCAGTAGAATGAACTCCACGGGGAGACTTTCGTTCATTACTGCCATTGTCTTCAACTTGTTTCACCTATAATAGGAAAGTGGCAAGAAGTTATAAAGAATTACCAGAAGTGACAAAACAATTATACATTGGCCATTCAGTTCTAAAAGACGGGTGTTCATGGGGTGAGGGGATACAAAGTTCTCACACCAAATACCAAACTTCCATTCACATTTCCATTCATGATTGAAAGCAGTTTCCTTGAATAAGATAAACATTTTGAGTTAGAAATTCTCTTGTATAATAAGGCAGACACTAATTATCCAGATAGCATGTCTGACTGCAACTATTTAGTTGAATAATTTTAACATCTAGCAAGTAAGAACTGAACTCCAATAAATCTCTTTTAGGTGTTTGGAATTGAGCAAGAAATCTAAACACTTTCAACATGTTACCTCAAGTATATGATATGTGACAAAAGTATACTGTGCTTAAATTTTTAAAAAATATTGCAGTAAAAGTAACATTGACATTAACCCTCCTCAAAATAATTGCTTTTGCTTCACACACTCTTTTTTAAAATGCAGAACAAATTGTACTTTAAAAATAAATCTCAGTAACCATGAAACACCACAATCTGGTCATTGTAATAGGAAAAAAGATAACAGGAGTTTGCTTTAGTTTTTCTTGAAAATACAGATACTGTGTACTGTACCTTTGTAATAAACTGCCAACTCTCATGTATTTGTACTTGAAGTATTCATTTTATGGATTATCCAAGAAATATCTGCATGATATTTAGTCATACACTGGGTTGTTTTTATCTTCAAGTAAATACATCCTCAAGGAATACCAAAGAATGCGGGCACTTGCTTATGTAAGCATAGGTAGGATGACAAAATATTGTTAGCAAATATATTTCAAAGTAGTATATTGTTTTTCATTGCTGATTCTGTAGATTTAAAAATCCATATTCAAAAATGATCTTCCAGCTTCAGATTACTGAAGCAAATATGTAAGAAAAATTTAAAGTTGGTACTGACATACCACAAATGCAAGAGATAAAATAAGTAAAACATAGAAGCCCTCATCACTGTACTATATTCATCACTTTCTATTATGAAGGAAATGAAAGCAGTGGCTGCAGAACTAGATAAGGCCAAGTCATAGCACACAGCTCACCCATCATCCCACATCTCTTTTCAAAGTAACCTAACCAATTTGTTTCCTAAAATGTCCTCCATACTGCAGTGCTACATAAATCTGATCATATCCTTATTTTATAGAAGGCTATCATCCCTATTTATTTTATTAGTTTTCCATAATGCATACCAAATAGAAATGATCCTTTTCTAACAAAAATTTGATACACTGGATTCTCTGCAAACAAAAAGCTGATCACAAAAGGTATATGTTTTTCCTATTAAATGTAGGTACATGTTCTTTAGGACAGCTTAGCTCATTTTTAGACTTGTGAAAACAGTGTGATTTACTTTGGCCTGCTTAAATAGAAATACCTTGGTATTTAGTGACTGAAAATCTCTTTTGTTAAAACTTGACACTAAGTTTGAGTTCTGGAATATGAAGTATAAACCTAAAATCACCCCAGAATACACTGCTGATACTGGCGTTTCTATAATATTGTGTTTTTTCTCTTCATTAAGATAGTGCTTCTCTAAGTATCTTCCCTTCAGCAGTGAAGTAAGACAAATGGTCTAGGACTACTGAAATAAGAAAGGAGGAAATCTACTGTGCAAAGTAAAAATCTTCTCCCAAATACATATTTTTAGTATAAAAATGTCATTTGCCCAATTCTCTAAGTTGATAGTGCATGAAAATGCAGCTTTTTCACCCTGTAGCAGCCTGGGGAGATTGCCATTTTAGTCAGGTGTTTTTGCCACTTATTGATGCAGTTCCAGAAATCCTATTTCCTGAGTATCTTTTGTTGTATTCTCCTGGCACATTTTAAACAACAAAACCAACTAACTGAGTAAAGCATATGTTGAGAAAGATGAATTAGATGGTGAAAGTTTTGTTCATATTGTTCCTGTGCTTTAGTGATGACCTGTATTTCATGACATTCACAGTCTTCTATAAGATGCAGCATGTTCAGATTGAAAGTTAAGATACTATCCTAGTCATGAAATTCTCTGCCAGTCAGTTAGTGGTTTCATGTCACCAGATTCTATCATTGGGTAGGAAGCATTTATAAAGTTTCTCTGTTTCTTTAAATCCTCAATGCCATACTGTCAGATGTTACAGTGAGGTGGTCAGAACTATAATGTAAATATTGTCTTCTAATTACATATATCCTACTCAAGAGGAAATAGTATAATAAAATATTAATTATTCCAAGCAACTTTATGGCCCACATGTGACAAACATCCCAAAAAAGGTTTTATGTTAATTAAATTAATTAGTACTCACATCCAAATCCTATCACAAAAGAAATTTTAATGTCCACATTTTAGGGCACTGTTAATCAGCAATTCCTGTGGCCTGCTAAAACTGGGGAGATTCTAAAGACTAAAAATAACTGCCTTAAATGAAGCAGTAAGATAGACTATAAGTTGAGTTTCAAGATTTTGAAACAAGAATTTATACTCTAAGGATGTTTTCCCTATTAGTGGTCTTCTCTATTTATTTAGCTGATATCACTCCAGATATTATAGTACTATAGAGAATTTAGAAATACCTGGGGTTATGTGGGTTTTTTGTTTTGTTTTTGTTTTTTCAGGTGAAAATTCTGTGTTGTAGATGGACCATGAGATAATCATGATCACAATTGCATTATTAAAAGGAGTATTGTCAATGTGCATTCTGCACACAGTATTTTAAAAGTGCTGTGTGAGATACCTGGTGTTTATTTTATATTGTTATATTCATGTTTCCATAATGAAGCATTATTCCAATATTTTAAGTCTTCATACATCCCCTTACACATTTTGACCATGTCCATTCCCCACTGTCCTTTTTCTTTCCCATCCTCTTCCTCCTGTCTGATAATAGTGCCCCTTCTACTTTCATGTTGATACTTTGGGGTTTTTCTTTTTGTTTTAGTTTAGATTCCACATAATGGGAAAATATACTTGTCTTTCTAATTCTGGCTCATTTCACTTTACATGATGATCCATGGTTCCATCCATTTTCCTGCAATTGACAGAATTTCATTATTTTTAATAACTGAATAATGCTCTACCATTCTTTACTTTTAAAGAGAAATTTTGAGTTTGATCTGGCAGAGTTTTAAAAAATATTTATTGTATATAACCCTAATGACAATAATCCCCCAGTATCATTTCAGTCTTTTTACCTAAGTTTTATCATTTTCTATTTTCCTCATATTATTCTTATTATTAATTGCAGTTTTATTCTGCAAAAAATGCTCATTCCACATCCTTTTATTTTTCTTGATATTTCCCTGGAGAAGCCATGGTGGGTCAGTCTAATCAGCATGACTTGCTTGAAGTATGTTTAATCTTTGTAATTCTATCCCTAGATGTCTCATCTTTTCTGTGTAATTCTTTCCTTGAGCACTTAGTTCCCTGAATTTTGGATCTTCTACTTCCAGCAATTTTTCCATCCCATTTCCATCTAGTTATCCAAGAAAGTTTAAACTTATTTTAATAAATTGCCAGGCTGAATTCCTGTTGACATCTTTGGCATCTCCACTCACATTTTCATTCCAGTGTATATTGCTTGTAACTTATCTCAGCACTAGAATGTTAACTGATACTTATGGTACTTTACATAGTTTCATAGAATAATATATCACAAGGAGAAATCAATGTTATTTTTACGTCATACCAAGACTTCTGACTGAAATATGGAGAGTCAATCCATGAAATGTTGATTATATTTTTAAAAGGGATTCATATGATGCAGTCACAGAATTGACTGAAAGCATTATCATTCATTTAAAGATTTCATATATGCCAGAAATATCTTTGCTTTTAAAATAAATTATTTTACCTTTGATTTATTGAGAAACTGAGAAATAGAACACTAGAAGTACACTAATTGCAAGTAAAATCTAATTGTTCCTAAAGCCACAGCACTAAATGTATTATTGGGCTTTTTGTTGCTGTTACCAAGTACTACAGAAGAGTTTCTCAAAGAAGCAAAGGTTTGTTCTGGCTCACTTTTTAGAAGTGTGAGTCCACACTGACCGTGTCCTTTGCTGTAGAGCAGCAGCAGGGCAGAGACATCATGGTGGAAGAGCACAGCAGGGCACAGCTGCTCATTTCAGGACAGCCAGGAAACACAGGTGACAGAAGGGAGCTGCAGAGCAAGGAGCAGAGACCAGGCATGGTTCTCAAGCTCACGATCCCGTGCGTGATGCCTTCAATCAGGAGCCACCTCCTCTTTCCATCACCTTCCACTCATGGCAGCAAATTCTGATCTCATCACCAGATCAATCCACTTGATGTCATTAGTGCTGTCCTAATTCAGTCATTTCCAAAACCCTCACCTCTGACCAGCTGAGCTTTATGGGGAAGATCTTAGATCTAATCCAAACTAGACATTTCCAGAGTTTAGAAAATGCTCTCTCCCTTTCATATACATGTTCGACCCTATGACCTACAAGTATTAGAGCCTTTCCTGGGAATGCACGTCCTTTAAAACAAGCATTCTTTACTTGCCTTATTTTCATATTCTCCATTCAAAGGGATTGTGAGGGAATATACTTGAATGTTTCAAATTTTCAAGGAAGGAAAGAGAAACTGCAGCATGTACATATATATTTAAAAATTGGATTCAGAACTCATCATTTTTCAGTTGATACAGTTGCAAAACATAATAAAAACCTAGCATAGGAATGCAATAATAGAATTTTTCAAATATGCTCCATGGATGTGTTATTTGTATGCTATCTGAATCCTCCTAGGGTTTATTTTCAAACAGACCATTCATTTACCCTTTTCCCAGGTGAGTCAACAGAGAAAATTCCTTGGGACAGAGCTCTCTATGGACAGGCTCCTTACACACAATTACTCACCTACTGATTTAGAGTCAGGATTCTCTGTGTTGGTACATTTATGTGAAATAAGCTGATCCAGTTTCCCAA